TTCCCTCATTCCCCCCCCCAGCAAACTTTAAATAAGATGTTGTATTTCTTAATAAATTGGCCTCACAAACGATACAGCTTGTACAAAGCACTAGATTTCCTTTCTTCCTCGTCTTCTCTTCACCTGGTCCTCCCTGTTAGAACTCTGTTACTGTTCCGGGTCAGCTTCCTATGGATGGATTTTCAGGGATGACTCCTTATCACTAATTACTTATCACTTATTACTACATAGCAGTGAATGTTAACAAATTACAGATTTGTATAAAAGACATAAACCAGTTATTTAAATTCAGTGCTCATTCAAAACATCAAGACCACCAAATATTTCTATGGTAAAGATGAACTTATATTCATAACCAAGTGAAACTAAACTACATCACAAATACCTGATGAATTATATCACAAGCTAAGGAACGCTCTCCTCTTCTTTATACCTAATGCCATGTAATCTACAGTATTTCCCTTGGGGAATTTATAACTGTGATCAACTGACTTTCGGATATAATATGCTTGAGCCAACAAATGAATAGCAATGATGCTTGTCACATTAGAAACTCCACAATTTCCCATCAATTTAGTAGACTAGAAGAAACCTTTTCGTTTTCCAATCTAGTCTATGAAATGAAGACACATATTATTTATCCTAGATCAGCCTCCCTTGATGCAAGAAACACCTGTTTTCATAGACGACCGAGAGCTTCCTCCTTTTCAGAATGGCCGCAAAAATGGACAAATCTGATGCCATATGGGTGGCAAACACCTCAGCAAGGCTGGAAACTGATGTCCACAAAAGTGAAAGCAGGGAGGGGGAAGAGGTGATGCAGAAGACATGTGAAAACTGAGACCAGCAGCAATGGTACTGTTCTAATTATTGGTTTAATCAGCAGCAATAGCAACATATTTAGAATTGTTCACTAAATTACATGTTAATGGCTCATATATTTACTCTACCCTTTATAATGCTTAAAAGGTACAATATGTAAGAATTTATGATTGTTCTGATTTGCTGACTTGTTGTATAGGAATAATTCTTTTTTCTTTTTCTTGTTTTCTTTCTTTCTTTTCTTTTTTTTTTTCTTAGGTTTTTCAAGACAGGGTTTCTCTTGCCACAATCTGGTTGTCCTGGAACTCACTTTGCAGACCAGGCTGGCCTTGAACTCACTGAGATCCATCTACTTGTCTCTGCCTCCAGAGTGCTGTGATTAGAGGCAACCACCCTCCACTGTCTGGCTGGAAATAATTCTTTATCTGTCTATCATTTCATGTTAAGCACCATCACCAAAGCTAACTTAAAAACTCATTTAGCCAAGGTGTCTGTATTTGCATATGGTATGCATAAGTATAGTGCATGTATAAGGGTATGTGAGTGCAAGTCAGAAGAGAATGTTCAGAAGTTAGTTTTTGCCTCCCACCTTGAGGCAGGGACTGTCTTGTTCTGGGCCTCTGTACTGCATACTCTAGGCCTTCTCCTACATAAGCTTCAGGACATTTCTCACTTCTCTGACTCATCTCCATACAGCAGGAATAATTAATGAATGCAAACCACTCTCTCTCTCTCTCTCTCTCTCTCTCTCTCTCTCTCATACACGTGCGCTCTGTGTGTGTGTGTGTGTGTATGTGTGTGTGTGTGTGCATGTGTGTGTATCTGCCTGTGTATATGTATGTATTTTTCAAGATCATGTGATTTGGCTTATACACTCAACATTTGTACAAGGTGAGCAATTTTCCTAGCCAGAACTCTATCTTTTTGGAAAGGAGAGACATAGACAGACAGATGGGGGGAGGAGGGGCTAATTCATTTAGTAATAGAAAATTTACTATGAGATGTTTTGATATATTTTTATCAAAAGCAAAACATGTGGGCAAACCACAATACTCAACCAGCTATCCAAATCAAGTTTTCACATCTACAGATCCACCTAAGTGTGACAAAATGTTTGAAGTTCAACTGTTGCTGCTCTGTGTGACAGTTAGATCTGCAATGCCTATTTCTGTTCTGAAGAGATTCTCCTCACCCTTAAATAACATCAATTTTTATATAGCATTTACATTATTTTAGGCATCATAGGTAACCAAGAGATGACTTAAAAGTATAAGGAAGTCTACATATGTATTATGTGCAAACACTACACCATTTTACCTAAGGGAGGCAAGCATTTTTGATTTGGGTGTCTTCATGAAGTCCTTAAGAATTAATCTCCCAAGGATAGCGAAGGTCAACTGTAAAGAAAATTTACTAAACACACTTTCATTTCCGTCCTTGCCTTTTATTAAAACACACAGCAATAAGTATTTAAATATCCTAAAAGAAAACAAAGAAACCAAGTCTCCATACGGAAAACTGCTAACCAGTAAGGGCTTTTTATATACATATGTATATAGGTATTCATTTGCAAGCATGCACACACAAAGGTGCGACAAAGGTTATAAAATAACTCGAGCAGACTTCGGCAAAGTATCTTTTATATATTTAAACTGCATCAAGTTATATAAAGAGCACCGAACATAGTGGGTCAAAACATAAACTGGACAGAGCCAAACCAAAACACTACAACAAAACAAAAATAAACAAACAAAAAACATTTTCTTTTCCGTCTCTGAATGTAGTAATAAACTACAAAGCTTAGGTCAGTCACGATCAGATCAATCCTTAATGTTTGCGCATCAGACACCAAATGTGCGCACACATCCAAATTAAAAAGAAAACAAACAAACACACTCCTGACAACTGGTTCTTGCCGTTTCAGCTGGTGAACCCCAAATGGCAGCATAATTAGGTATGCTAGTGGCCTCAACCTGTGGGTTGCAACCCTTCCACAGAGGTCACCTTAGACCATCAGAAAACACAAATATTTACAATTCATAACAGTAGCAAAGTTAGTTATGAAGTGGCAATGAAAATGATGTTATGGCTGGGGTCACAGCATTTGGAACTGTATTAAGGGTCACATTAGGAAGTGGATGAGAACCACTGCACTAAGCAAAAGTTTGGCTTCTTGTAGTACCATTGTTTCTAAGAAGCAGCTGCCCAGCTGAAAACTCTTTCCCACACGCCCCTTGCATCAATACTGGGCTGTGGAATTCATTTACCCCTGGAATATGTTGATGGTATAGCACTAGAGAAGGGGAATTTTTTAAATTTTCTGCAACCTTACCCAATTAATTCAAATCGACAGGGGCTTGAAAGTGAAAGAACGACAGTCCCCAAAGCTAGAAGGCACCCGTGCCTGCCATCACACCTCGCTCAAGGATTCGTTAACAACCACAGCAGCTACTACATGAGTCAAAGTAAATTCGCTTAAGCTAGAGAAATTTTGCTGTTACCTTTTATGGAGCTTTGTGTTAACCTGGTGCTTAACTGGCCTCTCCAATATTGATGAGAGAGCAACCATCAGATGGCAGTTCTGGATTGTGTCTACAAGGCAGTAGCAGCCAGTGACGTGTCTCCTGCTTCTCTAACCTAACAGACACCCATTGGGAAGAGTCCTCAGGATCCAGTTCCCACCAAGCTAAAGCTATTCCAGATCCACACTGCACCTCAGAGTCCTTTCCTCACTACATAAGTCCCTTCCCATTCTTTGTATTAAGTCATTAGATAGCAAAGCTGTTAGCCATTCCAGGCCCCCGAAATGGAATGTGGATGAGGCACACCCATGCACTCTATTTTCTGTCTCAAATGTTTAATTTTAATCCGCACTTTTGTTGCCGGCTACAAAACGCCTACCTCCCACAGATAAGTGAAAGGCTTAGGGAGAGGCTTGAGGGCTCCCTCGAAGGTGGTGTCTGCATATATTCATAAAGTACTGAACGGGATCAGTACACACCAGGCACTATATTCATAAAGTACTGAAGGGGATCAGTACACACCAGGCACAGGTACTGAAAGCTGAGGTTTTGCTTGTACTGTTTTCCAGGGAAAAGGTAAGAGGACAAAATAGTGTGAAGCAAAACTTCTAAGGAGCAAAGAATGTTCATGAATGGGCATGGGGCGGGGGGGGCGCTCCTGGGGAAGGAGAGAAAACTCAGTACCAAACTTCTTATTACCCAATGGAAGACTCTAAACTCATTGATTTTTATTTTGATGGAACAATTTTGTTTGTCTAAGTTCACTGATATGGATTTCTTCTGACAAACTCTTCTCTTGAGATAAAAAATGGAGAATTTCCACATTTCAGTAGGTTCAGTGCTATCAACTGGGCCAAGCAAGAGCTAAGGCCCAGGCAAAGGTCATGACATACACTGGGCTTTCAGATACCTATGCAGTGGGCTTCGCTTCTTCACAGCTATACTTAAGAAGCAGTTTGAGTATCTTGCTTCAGTCTGCTTCCTTAGTTCCTCTTGTCACGGCCACAGCCACTCAGTTCTATCACTGTGAAAACCCGGGAGAGCGCAGAGACAGAACCTGGGGCAATGCCACCAGGAACCTCAGTGGACGGTCCAACTGAGCTCGAAGACACAGGAAGAGAAGCCAGGAGAGAGAGAATCAAAACAGCAGCATTCCGAAAGGGGACGGTGAACAGGCAGTTCCCAAGGCCGGGTCACATCGGACACAAGCACGGCACCACCAATATTGATTGGGCGCTGCCTATCATTTGCCAGACACTGCTGGGTGCTGGGCAGGATACAAGGGGAGATCTGACAGCATGTGCTCAAAGGACTTACAGTTTAGTACAGAGGCACACAGCCCCCAGCACATCCTGCGTGTAACGAGCCTCCAAAGTCCAGCTGTGCACTCCTTCCTAAAACCTGATGTTCACTACAACTGGGTTTTCTTTCAGTTTAGCAGCTTCCCAAAAATACACATATATGGACATCTTTAAAATACATACTTTTACCCAGAAAAGAACTCATTTTATTAAAAAATGTTGAATATTTATTGTAATTAAGAAAATCTTCACATATATATTCAGCATTTTTATGGAATATTTTCTTGTGAATTTATTTTTTAAGTAAACAATTTCCCAAATTGCATAAAAACTATGGAATAACTTTTTTTGAAACATATATCTTTGAACCATTGGCGGTCTCATGGTAAAGTACACAGGCCTGCTACTGAAAGCGAGAGAAACTTTTGAAATACACAGATGTTTGCTTACAATCAAAGGTCACAGCTACAAGGTCTCCTCTGTAGACCTGTAACATGTTAATTCAAAGTATAACAAAGCAAAACCTCCACTAACCTGTACCAGCCCCCATCCAAAGCTTTAGATACTTAAAGTCCATTTCCTCACACGAAGACCTGACTAGCCAGACCATTGAAGAACTGTAAGAGAACTATCAGAAAAGACATTCAAACCAATTTTCCTATTACATTCTTAACAGTTTCTGGTGTTGCTATTTTCCTTTCGGCATATGGACAGCAAATGCAATGCATGGTCCTACAGCACAGATGAAGCTGTTTCTAGGGGAGCCTGAAGGGGAGATGCTGAGTGCTACATTTTATTCATTTCTAACCACAACCACCCTACTAAGTATCCTGCAATTATCCTCTTTTCCAAGAATCAGCAATGGGCTCAGACTCTACCCATAGATTACCTTGGCTTGTTAAAATCTGAAGCACCAAGTCTCTAGGAGACCTGATGAGACTTCTCTGAAATAGAGACTAGAGATGCTCATCAAACACACACACTTTGTAAGTTCGGGACTGTGCAAACTAATAAAGCTGTGCAACACAAAACTGAGTTCCTGAGAAACTGGGCTAGAGGTGCGCTGGGTCAGCAATATCCTGGGCAGCTCCGCTGGCACGCTGTACAAGCTGGGCTTTCCCCGCTTTCCTTACCAAACTCCTAAAACTGGGCTGTTCAAATGAATGGTAGTTTTAGAAATCTTCAGTTCCAGTTTGTCTGTGCTGGACTAATAGATCCACTCAGCACAAAACGTAGTGAACGACTAGTGGAACAGAGGTCTGCCTTTAATCTACAGGCTTGTTCACGGCTTCCTTACTTAGGACACACCCACATATTCTAAGCTTTGACACGAGCAGATTTTACACAGCGAGTTTATGTTCATTGTATAAAGCTCAGCTTTAAAGGTCTAAAATGGAACAGAAGCTCAGACCACTATCAACTATGTGATAATCTTTCCATCACCTCCCTGCCTTCAGATGACTAACGTGATTTCCTGTTCATTAATGGCTGAACAGCAAACACTTCAGATGTGTATCGTAGTAAAGAATCATTTTTATAGACAAGGGAACTGACAGCCTGAAACGTTTAATGAAACTGCTAGTGCCAAATTCAGGCTATACCTTTGACCTTTTGAAAACCTCATGCACATGCGTTTGTAAGAACTGTACCACCACACACAAGAGCTGCTAAAACGAGTATCACCAAGCAATGATACACTTCAAATGAGGTAATTAGAATAAACACTAACCAATTTATGCTAGTGCTAGAAAACAGCCCGTTTTGGGTTACTGCTTGGATGTACCTATAGTGTCTGTTCTTGGATTAAGAGTAGCCAATCTGCAGCTGGTAACTGAAGGTGCTGATTGTTGCAAAAAAATATTTCATGTCAAATATAATTATATAGTTAGTTATATATAATGTATTTAATCTCTAAATTATTTTACAAACCTAGTTTTAATTTGGATAAAAATGAATAGTCACAGACAAAAATATCACTGTGTGTAAAAATGAAATCAACAGATAAAAGTATCTGTGTGTGTTGCTGGATACTGGAAAACTAGTTTCACACTCCATCACTTCTAGAAGGAATGGAAAGTAACAAAAACTATAATAAAATTAGGTGAATGGGATTACTGTGTAAACTGAGGTATAAGAGAACTCCACTGCTTGTTATTCAATTTGGGTGCAAGTCAGTAAATTTCTGAGTTTCCGTTTCTTCCCCTGCAAAGAGCTAACATTTGCACAGTCCACTCATTAGGACTACTCAAGACAACGTTCAAACACGAGAGAATTCTGTAGATGGGAAAGCACATAAGCATTCTTACTATTCCAACTGTTAAAATATGGAGCCTAGTACAGCAGCATGTTCAGTGGAACAAATCCAGTTCAGGAGGCAAACCATGCAAACATTTTCAACTTTCAATAGCAAAGCTTAAAATTTATAAAGATATACAAAGAACATTCTAGAAACACTAAAAGACACACATATAGTGGAGTTGAGCCTTTAAAATGTGCTTGCAAGATTTTACAGCATACAAAGAGGTTCTTGGTCTTCGTTTGAAGAAAGCTGCTAGTAACCTAAGGAAGACAAGCATTATGGGTATTTCTAAAACAAATGGAATATAATTTTACCACTGTGCTCTTTTGTAAACCAGACTTCAAAGAGACACATTAATGTTCCCAATAATCTAACATATGCTAAAAGATAAAAGAGAGTGTTCAGGTGTAAGTCACAATCTTTGTCAACTTGCAGGAACACAAAACAAATAATTAAGAAATCTTCTGACTCTGTAGATACCTGGGAGTTTAACAGCCCTTTATGCTCATTTTATATTACATAAGACAATGCAAATAAAAGAAATATTCAAACCCTGCTTATACGGTCTTCCTCTGCAGCCGCCCCATTGTTACACGACTCCTCTCTGGCGGTCTTCACTTTGTCAGCAAAGCTAAGCTTAAGCAACCCAGAACCTTTCACTTCAACTCTGTCTTTTGATGTTAGTCTTTCTTACCCCAAAACAGAAAGAAAAAGAAAACTATAACCAAAACAAATGAAGATACAGAAAAGATATGAGATGTAATTTATCACGTATAAAAATATGTTTCAAATTCACAATAATTTAGTAACTTTTCGTTATTTCATAGGTATCTGGAAATGGGACAGATACATGTCCTGATCCTGTCACAAGAGGTAGAATCCCAGCATTTGGTACAACATTCCAAGATAGCGTCAAGGTAACATTCCTGTTTCCCCTACAAAAAAGACGCAATAAACAAAGGTTAGCAGAACATGTCATTTAATAAGAATACTTTCAATCAAGTACTACGGGACTACATAATTTATGACTAGCTCTTTCTAATAGACAAAACAAAACAATTTCTTCATCCTATTTGAAATCTACAGACAGCACTAAAAGACACCAGCATTAAATCCATAAGTAACCTAAATGAACAACCTAAACTCACAGCTGCAATTAATTAGCAACAAAAATCTTACTTGAATAAAACACAATGAAGAAAAAAATAAGACTCATGCTAGAAATCAGAAGGTAATAATTTGAAATCTAATTTTGCTATTCTTTAGAGGCACAAACTCCAGGAGATCAAAATCTACCATGTTCAAAATTCTTTCTTTAATAAGTCCAAAAATGTGGTTAGGTCAAAATAGCTCTTTCCTATACCATTTCTTATAAACCATAGAAAGGTCAAAACGACCTGAGATTTTGACCATCAATCATTTGATTTCCTTTTTGTGAAGAGTATACTGAACTTTGAAAAAAAAAAATTCAGAGAAGACAACTAGAAACCTAGGTACCTGCTCTAGATCTCGCACATTATTCCTCACGCAGGCTGCCCCAACTTGAGTTAGAAAGAAGACCTTTAACTTCTCAGTGTGATCCTTTCACTCATGAGAGAGCCTGTGTCCTACTCACCCAACAGGAAAGCTACTGCATGGGTTAGCTTTCTGTCAACATGCCACACGATATAGTCATCTCAGAAGAAGGAAGCTCAATTGAGGAACCCCATCAGACTGGCAGGCTTGTGTGACATTTCATGACTGATGTGAAAGGGTTAAGCCCACCACTGTAGGTGGTACCATCCCTGGGTACCATCCAGGTAGTCCTGGGGTGTATAAGCAAGCAAACTGAGGAAACTAATAGGTAACATTCCTCCACGGTCTCTGCAACAGTTCTTGCCTTGGCTTCCCCTGATGATGAACTATAACATGTAAGCCAAGTGAATCCTTTTTCCTCCAAGTTGATCTGTCCATAGTGTTTTATCACAGCTATAACAAGTAAACTCTTAACAACTATGGACTTTTATTGTGACTAGTGCATTTAGCATTAGTAGAGAAATGATTGCTAGAAGAGACACCAATTTGTATCTTTCCTTGGTCTTTCAGCCAAGTTCAGAACACATCAGCACTTCTCTCACTAGTCCCCCGTCCCTAACCTTATCTTCTTCCCTTCTTTCCTGTCTTCACAGTGGAACCAGATCCTGTGCATGCCAAGCAAGTGTCCTACCACTGAGCTACTTCCCCGGGTATAATACCTTTTCTTTAAAACAAAAATTCAGTTCATCTTCCTCTCACCAACCTTACTTAAAAATGTTAAAATAACATAGATTCACTCACTTGAGGCCATTTCCATCATCGAAGAAAAAATACTTAGTCTTCATGTCTTTCAAAAGCAGCTTCGGGTTATCACCTCTCAAAACGATCTTGTCCCAAAGGACGACTTGGTTCAGAGCCTACAGCAAATTCAAAGTCACTTAGATAACTCAGCAGAAACATTATCACTTCATATTCAAAATGTAAATAAGCAAAGAGCTTGACAAATCAATGGAAATATATTCATTGCTCACCAACGCAGTAATTTAATTCCAAATTAGTGTTAGCTTGCTGGACTTACTGAGGTAAATCACAATTACAAAAACAGTTTACATATGCTTACTATAAGAGTAACATTGATCCTTGTAATTTTTTGATACCCAATAAATAGTGTTTATGTACGGTAGTTACTCTTATTTTGAAGAACAGGTTTTTTTTTTATTTTTGAAATGCAGAACTCTTATTTTAAAGGACAATATTTTCTGCTATCTTTAAAGTATATTTTGTTGATTTAAAGTTCACTCACTCCAATATTCTCAATGCCCAATGAAATACCCAGAATAAGACATATACACCAAGTAATTATCTGTAGTGCCAAAATTTACTACATAAAGTTGTTTAACATGCTGCCAATACAGTAAATATAATAGTAACAATAACAATCACAACAATAAATAATACAGGTCAAAAAATAATAAATAATTACAAATTACCTACCTACACTAATGAGAAATACAAAGCTGCTTTGGCAAAAACAACATAGACGTGATGTTCTGTTTACGCATCTCAGTTTGATGTGCTAAACCACTCCATACTTTCAGCAGTGGTTCTATAAGAGAAGCTAAGGCAGTCAAACAATCTCTGCTGTAATACATATATATCTTTCTAGACCCTATAATGCTAGAGAGCTACGAGGCACACACACACAGTATCCACAGACTACTGCAGGGGAGAAAGCTTTCTTACCAGAGTCATCTCTCCGTAAGACTGATTTGTTCTGTTGTTGTTGCTTTTTAAATAAGTATGCAGGTCAGATATTTTGAATATATAAAAATTGATATTCTTGGGCCAGTAAACAGACTCAGTGGGTCCAATCCCTGAATCCTTAAGGTAGGAATGAACTACTTTCTAACAGGTTATTTTTACAATTATATTCTTTTGCAAGAAATAATATTTAAAAAGAAATTATTACAATATACTTAGATAAATACTTACATTATTTTTTGTTGAATACTCTGCTGACAAATAAAGAAATAACTGCTTAACATTCCAATCAAATATATTCTCTAGATGTAAACAAATTAAGGACTCTAAGGATTGCAAAGCAGCACACAACTTTCAAAGAAATCTCAGTCTTAAAACATCCATAGCAACATGAACATTAAAACAAAATACAATAGGCAATCCAGAAATATACCAAATCACCATTTTAAGATCAAAATACAGGATAATATATGGTAAGATCTAGCACATTTGAAAGGGCTGTGCGTCAGGACAGGTTACCATTCTCCCTGTAAATGTAACTAGCTGACGTATTTATTAAAAAAAATAAACATAAGAATCTGAAGCTTTAATTCTGTCTAAAGCGGATCCAGTCGTCACTACCCAAAGAAACAACATGCACATATGCACAGGGCTCAGGCAATTAACCAAGTCCAGCATTCTATACAAGCCAATTTGGTTATAGGTCAGTATAAACCATGATGCCTCAGTGTGTGGGGTTCTGTGGTAGGAGCGGAGAAACACTACATGGCCCTGATCATCTTGAAGAGGGGTGCTCACTACAGTGGGGGATACTCACTATATGAACTACAATACTGTGCCACAACTGAGAAATGAGCTAACACAGGGATTTTATTAAGTATTATATGCAAATTACTAATTTTATTTGTGTATATACATATTGGTAGTAATAGGCTTATTATAATCTAGTTTTAAGGCACACCCACCATAAGCTATTGTTCAGAATTGAGGGGCCTGCAGCAGTCCCATACAAAAGAAAAAACCCATTTTCAAGAATCAGGAGCACATTACGAAAATCTGAACAAACTGTAAGATTGATGATGTATAAAAACAGTAGTCAAGAATTCCCTTGAATTTCTGATCCTCAACCCTGCCCCTCCCTCTGTGGTGCTGGGCTTATAGGCATGCCCCACCAACCCAGTTTATGCAGTGCTGGGCAAGCCCTCTACCAAATGACTTACATCCCCAGAGGCTTACTGCAATTTCTAGATTACGAATTACTCTTTTTACCTATGTATAAACTCCTTCCTATATGAATTTTAAAAGTAGAATAAAAATTTAAACATAAAGCTTATCCTGAGATTTTTCTGATGACATCTCTGTTTCCAAAAAAATTGGGTACATTGAAAACTAACTCCTATTCTATAATTAAATCCAATAATTTGTTTCATTATAAACTGTAAATGGTTTCAGGATGAACAGCAGGTAAACCTGTCAAACACATGTTACAGTCAGATGCTTACTACAACCGATCTCCATAACATAATAATAATGATGATGATGATAATAATAATAATAATAATAATAATACACTGCCAGGATTCTAACCTGTGGCCCTAAAGTTACCAAGATGATGAGCTGCTGAAGACAGAAGCTCCGGATAAAGGAGAAACAGCTCATCCTGGCTCACTCACTTCATGAAGATACGGAGTTTGGTTTTGTTGTTGTTGTTCGGTTTTTGAGATGGGGCTTCTCTATCAGCCCTGGCTGTCCTGGAACTCATTCTGTAGACCTGGATGGCCTCAAACTCAAGATCTGCCAGCCTCTCCCTCCCAAGTGCTAGGATTAAAGGTGTGTGCCACCACTGCCTAGCATCTTACTGGTTTTTTGTTTTCTATAATAAAAGACAGGGAATTAATTGGGGCTGAAAATGGACTATATCTAGGCAGAATGAGCTCTGGTGAATTTTTTCTTCTTTAACCAAAATGATCTTTTATCTTTTCTTTCCTAGGTTCAAATTAATGTTTACATGAAAAATTAAGAAATATTCACACTATTAACTTTTCATGAAGTGTGAACAAGGAAATAGCAACTCTATTTTACTGATGAAAGTACCGAGCTCTGGTGGGGTCAATATTCATAGTCACACTTCCTCAAACGCCTACACCTGCACCTCATTTTAAACCTACAAAAAAAGCAACCGAACATTTTCGGTGAAGGATATCAGCAGTTATATCAAACGTGATGAATCCCAGGTCGCTTCTTTCTCGAGGGCCAGTGAAGTCTTCTACATTTTTTCTAGAAGTAAAGACAAAGGTTTCACCATCTCTCAGGGCATCACACAAAATTTACACAAGTCAAACCCGCAAGGGTTAGCAGTGTGCATCAGGAAAATATTAACCTCACAAAGAAATGCGTAAAAGAGAAACTGTAAGTGTAAAAGTAATTAAGTATTATAATTCAATATAAAAGAAGGTTCTCAGCTATTTTCATTTGCCTGAAGGGAACTTTTGAGAAAACCCAGCAGAAAATAAAACATACAAGGAAAACTTAAATACTGCATGGAGAGCAGGTAAGAAGAGTGAATTTGAGGGCTGTGAGTGGCCACAAGGTGACCTGGAAACCAGCACCTGTTCAGGAGAGCCCAGCATATGGCAGAGCCACCTCGTACTCCCCACAACTATCCTAAATCCAAAATCTGTACAACAATCCTGCCAGTTACTTTCTTCGCTAGCAACAAAAATTAACACGCAGGAGAGCAAGAAGCCTATTTCATGACGATCACATCAACGCTGAACGCGTTTCAAGTTCATCTATGCCCTCGCAGAACTGAAAGTAACGGTGGCGCTGGTATCTAAGCCACACTTATTTAATCAACAGTATTGAATAAAAATCAATATAGGCTAAATTAGAAATCAGAAGCAGCGGCTGCAGTAATCAAAGGGAGGGGACACTTGTGATGCTGACCAAAAATAAAAAATAAATAAACTAAGGGAAGGACAGATTATAGAAGACCGCAAAGAGCAAACAAGAATTAAAAACACTTATTAATTACAGAAGTGAAAGGAAAAAAAAAAAGAGGGGGATGCTATAAATAAAACAGGCAGCACGGGGAGGGCAGTCACTCTGACATTCTATTTTTAGTGTCTCCAAACATTTATCCAGTTTGGTGGCTAAAAGAATGACAAAAAAAAATAACAAGAAAGCACGGTGCACTGTGTGTCTCGATTCACATCCACACTTCAAGGCAGTGGCGGTGTGTCCAGAAGGTGGAAGGTGCCCAAAAGGGACTGTCTAAAAGAACCAACTGTGGAGGGCCTGGAGGGCCGTGACACTAGAGCCACCCACTACGCCGCCTCAGCCTCGGGCTGGCAAGGGATGACACCGGCGACCCCACGCGTGCTCGCAGGCGGGAACGCGCCAGGCGGAAGCGCGGGTGTGGGTGTGCTGGTGTGTTGCTCGCTCATTGGTCAGCGTGGGTGAGGGACGTGAAGAACAGGAAGGAAGGGGAGCGCCGATCCAGGCCACTCGGGAGCTGACCGCGCAGGGCTGGGGGTCCCAAGGCCACAGGGCCACGTGTCCCCCACGGTGGAGCCCGCGGGTAAGGCGGGGGACAGGTCCGGGCCCGCGCACACACCCCAGCCCACTCCCCGGCAGCCCCGCCCGGCCGCACTCACAGCATGATCCGCGAGACGTGCAGCCGCACCGGGACGCTCCGGTCTTTGAAGGCGGTGGTGATGAAGCAGCCGAAGGTGAGCGCCGCCATCACGCTCAGCGAGAAGGCGAAGAGCGAGTTCGCGCGCGACAGGACGGTGTTCATCGTGACGCCCTTCCCTCAGGAGCCCTGTCGCCGACACACCCGTCCCCAGGCTCCGCTTCCCCGCGGCCCCGCTGCCGACCAGTCCCCTCCCACCCGCGCACCCGGTGCGCACCTTCCGGGAGCGCGCGCCGCCCCGCCCCGCCCCCTTTCCGGTGCTCGGCACCTTCCGGGAGCGCGCACGCTCCCTCCCGCTGGGACACACCCACCGCGCGGCCGTGCACGCGCTGGAGGGCGGGGCTCTCAGTCAGTCCGCCAATCAGCGGTAAGCACTGCGGTTGGCTTTGGCCACAGGAGTCCCGCCTCCTCCCGGGCTCACAGCCTTGGTTCCTGAATCTGTAGAGTGCACCCATTTACCAGTGGGCCTTCAGATGTGTTTTGGGGAACTGCCCCTCCTTAACTTTATATGTAACATTCACTTTCAAAACGCATGGTCCTAGTTCCTATCTATCAAAGCTGTAAAAATGTAAAGGAGAAAATATTAAGTCGTTCAATGTGGAGGCACATAGAGGTGTGGCTTCTGACAACTCAAGCCCCTAAAAAGCAATAAGGAGCAGCAGCCTTGGTGGGTCTTAGCTGTTGGCCACCCAGCCTTAGTGTAATTCCTCTTGCTTTGCTTTCAACGGAGAATGTTATGTGTGTTCATACCACAATTTCAGATATTTTTCTTTTAAACAAAATAGGTAAAGAACATGTAGACCATGAAAGGTGTCAATGAGAAACTGATATTAATTGAACTCCTTTTAGTCAGTTTCATGCAACACACGGGCAGGATTTTTAAGAATTGCCTAGCACGTGACAGAAACAGTTCTAGGCTCTGCATGGAGAATGCCACACGAATAAGCCCCGCCTCAAACAGAATAGGGCCAAGAAATGAAATATTTAGTAACTAGAGTCTGAAAGGTGTTTAGTATATCAAAACCTTGAATTTTTTACTCTCCCAGGTAGCCACACTTTATTCAATAAAGCAAAATTCTAATAAATGCCTTGCTCAAGTGACACAGAAATGTGTATTGATCACTTTCTACCCCATTGGAGGTTATAATCGAGTAAAGTTATCAAAATCGATGCTGCAGTCTAAATTATGAAAGCAGGTATGAATATTGAGAAAGGTTGCAGTCTTAAAATTAGAAGTCATATATGTGGTGAGGTGGAGCAAAACTACATGAAACTACAGGAAACATTGCAACTCTTATAAAGGACAACATTTAATTGGGGCTGGCTTATAGTTCAGAGGTTTAGTTCATTGTCGTCATGGTGGGAAGCATGACGGCGCACGACAGTCATGGTGCTGGTGAGGTAGCTGAGAGCTCTATATTCAGATTGGTAGGCAGCAGGAAGAGAGTGCCACTGGACCTGGCTTGGGTTTCTGACACCCCCAGTGGCTTTACCTACTCCAGAAAGGTCAGACCTCCCAAAAGTGCCACTCCCTGTGAGCCTATGGGGGCCATTTTCATTCAGAACACCACAAGGGCCGATATTATTGGTAACAAAGGGTGAAATTTTGATTCTCATTTTCAGTTTTTCTTCTTTCTGTGGAAGGATGAAGATGTTGATAATTGGCTTCCTTCAAGACTTCATTATTTTGTTGCATTGGCCAAGATCATTGAGAAATAAATGATCAAGTATTTAACCTAGTGGGAATGTCCCAAGACTGAGCTCGGGCCTCAGACTTTCTTGTATGGAGAGAGCATGTAGAACCTCTACCAGAGCTGACTTAGTCCATAGCCATAGTAGGCGTAGAGACTAAGTCTGGAGAATAGTTTGGAATGCACAGAAATGTTTTCATTTATTTAATTATTGAAGAATACAAAGAAGAAATACATGTAACCCTGCTTGTATTTGTTTTTATACCAATGCAATCAGAGCATGATATTTTGTTTTTAAAATATTTTGTTTTTTTTAGGTCTTTAAATAGTCCAAGAAAAACAGTCAGAACAGGAGCTTTGAATGGGGCATGTGTAGGAGCAGTTCTGCTGGCTCAGAATCTAGAGTTCATGCTTGGTTTTGTTTCTGGAGTGATCTCTCTATTCACATGATTTTAAACGCAGTCCTTTTACTTTCTTTGACAAAAGACATTTTATAAATAGAGTTTCCTGCTGGAATCCTCAGTAGCAGAAGAATCTGTTTGAATTTACATAATAGCCCTGGAATTTTTTCCCCTTTATTTTTCCACTTCTTTTACAATGGATTATCTTCTCTACAATTCAAATCCTTTATTAATAAAATGATATTTTAACAGTTTGGTAGCATTCTAATTATTTTAATGATGGGAGCTCCTAAAGGCAGAAAAGATAAATATCCACCAAAATCATACTGCCACTCTGCTTAACGGTCTGTGAAAACATTTAATTATGCTTGTCAGCTCTTTACCACGGTCCAGTTGGTTTTAAATTGCTCTGAACTAATTTAAGTTGGTATAAGTCACAAATGGTCCTTCTGTTGTGTCCACAGGTTAGTGGCTGGTCTTCATGAGGCTAGAATGGCTCATGTGAGGTGCTCTCAGCAAACAGCCCTTGGGCACCATCTTCCTAGAGAAAGAGAAAAGGTCATCAACAAGAGTGTGTTGGGACACAGACTCTTGCTGATCGACCTCTGAATGCATTTTCTTAGCTATGGATATCAACAGATGTTACTATTTGGACAGGAATTGGAGCAGCATGTATTGGAAGCGCAGATATTAAGAGAATATCACAGTTACTTTTCCAATGCATGACAGCCAAGAGCTGATACTACTAGCAAACACTACTAAGATTCTAAACTTAAAATCAAAACTACCCAAATTCTACAGTTAAGTATATGAGATCTAATCTTTATTGTAAGTTTGACTACATCTTAAATCAACTAAAACCCAAGCCATTGGTCATTCTTGTGAGGAACTTTTGCCATCAGATCATTTGAACCTGAAAGGTCCAGCCTAAATCTAGGTGGTCCTTTCTGTGGTAATCAAGAAAAATAAATGACATGAAAGAAGAAAATACTGCTTTTCGCCTGTTGCCCTCACTTTCCCTGAAAGTTCATCCATTTCTTAGCACTTCTTCTCTTCACAGGTATTAGAACCACTTCTTTTTAATTCCAAAGAGACCAAAAGGAAGTGACCTCTAGGAATCCTCCAGGATATCAGTGGCAGATTGCGACTCCTAAGACGTCTAGCCTCTGAATGGTTCTCAGTTTTTTCAGTGTGAGATGGCCATTTTGGAACTATCTGGACTACATCCTGTAAGTCAGTCTTATAAATGCCCATTTAATATTTTCAATCACTTCATTCGTCTGTTCTTTTAGATGTTAATGCAGAATACAAGTTGAGGCTGTACTCGCAAACAAAAACTCTGAATTTGTCTAACTTTTTCAAAGAGTCAAATATAAAAATAGTCAAAGAATCAATAGTCTTAAAAATGTCAGAATGATCACCAACATCATAGCCAGGTTGCTAGTGCAACCGTCGGTTCCTGAGTTTGTTGGAGTCGGTTTGTGAAACTTTATTTGTTGCTACCTCGTCAACTGATAAGCAGAACTCCAATTTCTGTCAGATTGTGGAGTTCACACACAAAGCTGCAATAGGAACAGGAGGCTGAGCAAGGAGGTGGTGACACACCAACATTCGGGAGGCAGAGACAGGCAGATCTCTGTGAGTTCAAGGCCAGCCTGGTCCTACAATAGCTAGTTCCAGGACAGGATCCAAAACTACAGAGAAACCAACCAACCAAACAAACAAACAAAAAACCAAGAGGCCGAGGAGAGGGGAACTAGAAATGATGATGCTGAGCTGAATGGAAAGGAAAGAACTCCAAGTAAGACCTAGAAGTGTCTCAAATGCATTAGAATATTTGTTATAAAATCTCTACCACAGCACTGTTCTCTCAAAGAGGAGATTGTTTTTGGACTTTTCGGTAAGTGAAAAATACCAAGGACATGGGACTGAAATTTGATGTTTTAGACAAGATTTATTTTCTGTGTATCTGTATGTGTCTGCATGTGTGTATGTGTGTGTGTGCATTGTGTGATTGCCTAGTCTCCACGGAAGTCAGATCCCCTCAAACGAGAGTCACAGTGGTCCTGAGCTATCATGTGCATCCCAGAACCCAGCCTGGGTTCTCTGTAAGAGCAATGAGTGCTTTTAACTAATGAGCCATCTGTCCGGCTCCTGAAGCCGAACTCTTGATGCTCTCAAATTATAGTTATTCAAATGAAAACACACTTTGAGATGCATTTGATGCCTCAAGTGAGTGAGAATTACAATCTCAGTGAGACTTCAACTGTAATCAGTTCTTAAGAGTGTCTCTCACTGAGGCTGAGCAGAACAGGAAACTGGAAAAATTATTTTTGCTGGAAGATTTTGGTTGTTTGATTAATAACAACAAGCAAACTCAATTTTGATTTCTACCTCCTTGTATGCTAACATTAAATTTATTTCCATTTTTAAAGTAATTATGAAATCCAACAACAAATCAAAAATTCATAAAAACCAATGTATATTTTAACAGATTATTATTGTGTAATCAGGTTCAGGGCACGGGAGATGGTTGCCTTTCCTTGTCATACCTCATACCTCTCGAAGCTAGTTATCAACTCAAATAGGAGACAAAAGAATACTTCTGCTGCCGGAGTATATACTTCGAAACACAGTGGCCGATTTTAGCTTCCTATAGAATTTGCGTAAGTGGAAGTATGTACTGTTATTTTCTATGTAGGCAGTCAGTTCCAAAGCATGATGTTTGTGGAGGTCATACATGTGTAGCTATAGTCTGTTTTCATAACCAGCTAAGTGCCTGTAGGATCTAGTTTACTGATGAAATGGTTCAGCCTCAGTGCCGACCCATAGTAGACATAGTTTCTCCCTTCAGTGACTAGCACTTAGTTCCATGCTCACACTTATGGCCAGTAGTCCACTTGGTGACTCTTCATTTTTATTGTACTTGTGTAGTGGCCAGTTTCCTAACTGCTTGGCTTTATACTTGGAAAACTGTCCAGTTTGGGGCTATAAACTATGAAAACAAACCACAGTTGCTAAATTAACTCTGTGTGTGGCTCTTTTAGATAACCATGATTAGGAACCAAGTTTTATTAAACTGAGATAAGGTCAAACTGAGCTGCTCACCGAGTCTTGCATCCCCCAGTATGTAGGCATTGCTGCCTAGATTTATAACCACACCAAACATGGCAGCATATCCACTGTCATAGAATCTGGATGGTCAATGGATGTTTTTGTCTCTTGTTGTTGTCATTAAGGTGCCCATATATTTAACTTCAAAACTAGACAGTCAATAGTTTAATAGTAAAATGTTACAATAAAGTACAATTTAATAATATTTTGCTAACTAGATGGTATTATATATGCAGACCTGTGGAATAAGTTTATCCAAAGACTTTAAAATGAATACATTTATAGAACACTAAAGTCAGAAAAAAATAAACAAGCAAATAGAAGTAAATTAAAGTAAAAAAACATATTATCTGAATGTTAAAACACAACATAAGGGGGCATGAGAGATGGCTCAGTAGTTATAAATATTGGGTGTTCTTGCAGAAGGTTGTGATTCCCAGCACCCACAACCAGGCAACTCCAACCACCTTTACCATCAGTTTCACCGAATCTGATGCACTTTTCTGGCCTTGGTGTACTGGTGTAGGTTGCTCAAAGCTCAACGATGTAAATTTCCTTTAGAGTAGCAAACACACACTGTCTGTCAAATATCTTGACTGTTTTCACTGTCAAGTTGCTTTTGTACACACTCAGATACACACAAACAAATAACATTAAAAATAAATACAACACCATGTCTGCCTGCATACCACCATGCTTCCTGCCATGATGACAATGGACTAAACCTCCGAACTTTTGAGCCAGCCCAAATGAAATGTTTTTCTTTCTAAAAGTTACTGTGGTTATGGTGTCTCTTCACAAGAATAGAAACCCTAACTAAGATAGGTTCCGACCTCCATTTTATTCCTCATTGGTTGGCTTGTATGCCATTGTCATTGTCACTGTTCTTTGGTCGTGAGGAGACACTATAAGCAAGGCAACTCTTATAAAAAAAAAAGCATTTAATTAGAAACTTGCCTATACTTTCAGAAGGCTAGTGTGTTATATAGTGGCAGGAACCAGACCTGTGTACCACTGGAGCAGTAGCTGAGAGCGTCACATCCTGATTCATAGGCAGCAGGCAGAGAGATGCACAGGGCCTGGCATGGTCTTTTAAAACCTCAAAACCCTTCCGCAGTGACATACCTTCTCCAAAAGGCCCCACCCCTAATCCTCTAATGCTTCTCAAGCAGGTTGAGGAGGAGTCTGTGGAGGCTATTCTCCTCTAGATCACCACATTTCATTCCTGACACCCATACACTTGTAGCCATACCATAATGCAGTACGTAACTTCAGAAACCCCATGGTTTTTCACAGTCTCAAGACTGCTTGCAGTTTCAAAGTCAAAAGTCTCCACTGAGACTCACGGTAATCTTTTAACTGTAACAGCCTTCTCCTGTAAAAGCAAAAATCAAAAAGCAGATCACATCCTGTCAACAACCTACCAAAGGGGTTAAAGTCTCCCACTCTCGCAACTGAGTTTAACTTTCAGTTCTTTGAGAAGGGAAAATCAGGTGTCTCTCCCATGAAAGGGGGCACAATGGGCCGTTTATCAGCAATGCCCTTGCATTCAGGGAGGCGGGAAAACAAACACAAGGCCTAAGTCAGGTCAGCCTCGCAATGTCTCAAGGACAAGTCTAGCACCCCCTTTCTGAGTCACGTCCAGACTTGCCCAAGTTTGTACGAGTATGTTCAGAAGTGATAGGATTAAACCTCAGCCAATTATACTATACAATACTATACTATACTATACTATACTATACTATACAAGTATACTAGTGTACTGCTACTTGCTCAACCAATTATACATAAGATGACCCAGCTGTCCCTGAAACTCCCCTTAGCTGTACTTAAAAGGAGCCTACATGCTCCTCTCAGGGTCATCGCCATTTTGTACAGGTGAATAACCCCACATAAGTTGCTAAACGCTCTTTGCTTTTGTAACACCCGATTCTGTGTTACCCTCTCGGTACAGTTCGTGCGCAAATGTACCTTACCCGAGTTTGGGCAAAGGCCTGGAGATTGAACAAAAGACACAAGAGACCATGGTCATTCGTCAGGAGATCAGCCGAATGCCACTTTATTCAGCTTTTTGCAAAACTAATATACTTTGGCCCCAGTAAAGGAATTCCCTCCCAGCCAAGGGGAACCTGGCACCCTATGGAACCTGGCACCTTAAGGAATTCCTTTCCAGGTAGGGGGGAGCCTGGTGCTCTGTAGGAACTCCTCCCAGGCAGGTGGGAAATTACCATACCAAAGATGAAACAATACCCTACAGCTAAATCACCAGGCTATGGCAGAGTGAGCACAGGAACTAGCAGGAAGCTTTAGCTGGCTGACCAGAACTGTCCTCGAGACGCACCCCAGAGAGTAAGGGGAAACCAGGCCCTACAGCTTTTACATACTATTTGAGTCTGGGAACTTCCTTCAGCATCTCCTAGAACCCTACACTACAGTGGCACAGAACATACATTACATTCTGAAAGGGACGAAAGGAAGTAGAGTGAGGAAATACGGGAACACGGAAGACTGAAACCTGGCAGCACAAACGCCCAGTCTGCATCTCCGTGCTTGATGTCAAAGTGTTGTTCAGCGCTCCAGCCTCTTCCAGCTTTGTTGATTGTACCATACATCACTCTCTTTTGGGCTCCACACCTGCTCTGCATCTCTTCTTGGCAGTTATCCCACATCTCGGCTTTGTCAAAATCTTGGGGTCTCCAATGCAATCCAGGCTTTACTTCACAGCTTCATGAAAGGCCTCTGTCTTCCATGCATGCAGTGACTCCACTGCCACATGTCTGGCCTCATTTTATCCACTGAGGAAGATTCCATAACCCCTTTACTTCTCCTGTATTCTTTTCTTTTTCTATTTCTTTTTTATTATTATTGAAAATACATCATACTTTGTATTTGGTAGATGTCATTCCAAATCCTTTTAAATATTAGCTTTATCTTGAGAACTCATCAATACAGGCATTCTTTTATCACAAAGGAAGAAATAGAGTCACGGCAAAGCTGGCTAACCATTTAAGCTCATAGGACTAGATTCCCTGGTTCTTCTGACTCTCTGAGAGTGTTCAGTTCTGATCAGGACAAACCACAGATAGACTCTTAAGCCACCTTAGAGAAACTAGCT